AACTTTTTTAGAACAACTTTGTAATGAATTATACACGAAAGAAATTATATTGTATTTATTATCGATGCACATTCGTTGCGAGAATTATGAATCCATTATAATAATAGGTGGTCATTTTTCTGATGTGTGTCCTTGTACTTGTTCCTTGCAGACAAAGTGCGTTAGTTAACAAGTTACCTTACCTCCCAAGTAACACACTGGTTTTATAAACATAAATTACACGATTAAACAATAATATAGATGATTTGTAGTATATTACAAATCGATGGTTTTGCATACAGATGTGGTAAGTGCATTATTGGGCAAAACTGAGTTGAATATACTAAATAAGTGCAAACATATGCAATTGTTGTTTAATGTGTGGCTTCATAGTCGAATGGTAAGGACACTTGCCTCTCACTCCTGGGGTACCGGGTTCAATCCCTGGTGGAGGAGCTAGAATTTTTTGTAAACCAGAAATTAATCCTAGCATGCTTGGACATTTGGCTGTGTGTCCACAATCAAAATTCAAAATTTATATACACCAATTTTACTTATTCTATACATTTTTTTTAGCATTATTTTAAAGTTTTTACACCAGTGGTGTATGCTTTTGTATATATGTAGCCGACTTTTATTTACAAATGTTATTATATAATTAAAATATTTTTAGATTTAGGAGTTGTATTGATTGTTAAATTAGCCCGGACCGGCCTCGCTCTGCCTGACCCAACAATTGCCCCGCTGCAATATGGACCGATGGTGCTGTCTCAAAAAATACCAAAAACCAAAAAACCGAATAAGGAACACAAACTTCAATTTTCTTATAACTAATACTTCAAACTTTTATAATTCGGTTCGGTAATTTATTTAAATGCTGACTGCGTTCAGTTAGTAGACTTCAAAAGTAGGAGTATGGAGAGATTTAGATGTGTTGTTTTGATGCTTATTTTAAACAAACAATTTCGTGCTTAAAAATTAAATAAAGTGCAATATATTATACACCATTTCAAAAGAGCAGTTCTTCTAGTATTAAGCACATAAAAAATATTTCTATATTGCTTATCCCTTACTACAATAAAAAAATGATAAAGGTCTCATGTTACTGGAATGACCTTCTCAACTTCAAAAAAATTTTAACTGTTAGCAGGGTTCGCCCCGGGAAGTTTTCACCAATCTGGCAACTAAAACGATCCTGTATAAGATCCAAAAAAATCCGTGAGCGCTTCTCTTGTAAATCAACAAAATAGCAAAGAAGCGCGCGCGATGAACACTTAAAAATCTGCAATACTCGTTCCGTAAGAATTATGAATTTGCAAATACGGCGTTATAAAGAATACATATAGGTGTATTATGGAATTGCAACAAATCAGAGCAAGCATTTCACTGAATGCCTGGATTTGAAAATTCGTACATCAGATTGGTCCCATTTGATTTTTTTTAGCAGCACCACCCATATTTCACGTTTGACAAAATATGTTTACAGTGACTTGCGGTTAGATAAAATCAAATAAATATTTGTAGTTGTTAAACTTATTAAACAAAGTGGTATATCGATAAAAATGGTTTACGATATAATTTGAAAAAATATTTTTGCCTTGAAAAATAAACCAAGAGAAAAATATTTTTTTCTTCACCTATACACAGGATGTGTATTCTGCAGTTACCATTGTCCTTAGGAAAGTATATAAACTTGGGTTTGTTAAAATTTTAGATTATTATTAATGTATACAGCATTAATTAATAGTAATCAATAATTTGCGGCTGTCAGCTGTACCTGCGACAGTAAACAATGAACAATTTCAAAATTACTAAACGTAATATTTGTGACGCTTTTATAGTGCACGGAAAACATATATCAACAGCAGAACGGTATGTTAAGGGGGCATTTCGATCTTTTGAAGAGCAGTTGCAATGTGTTATCATCAAATTCAGAAGCACTTATTGCCCGAATTTAGATACGCTAGAATAAAGCCGGAAGAAAAGGGATGTGTTCTTACGCAGCAACGAGAAATGGTTAGATGGCGAATTTTTTGTACCATTACAAGAAGACGAAGAACCATCGACGTCCTTATCTGAAAACCCACGAGGGAGACCATGTAAGTCATTTAACGATTCCGCAGAGAAGACACGAAACGGGAAAGCAATAAAACTATTTC